ACAGAATATCAAAATTGGAACCCGAACATGTTGCTAGGAAGATTATTGGGTATATTTATTTGCAGGACCTTCCAGACCAGGAAATGATCAGATTGGCTTTAGGCCCTGATAGCTTAATCCACAACTTGATAAAAAAGATAAAATCTGCTTTTATGTTTGCTTCGTCGTCAGTTCTTTCACCTCCAATTTCTCCTTCCATGCCGAGTCCTGTTTCGGATTCTTCCCTTCAGTTTGCCCCCTTTTCATCTCGCGCTGTATTTCAGAAAGTAGCTCCTTGGGATCCTCAATTACCTGAGCAGCCACAATTGATGCCTAATCCTTCTTTCAAACTTTTACCATACACTGATTCACTTCATGAAGAGTATGGTTTCCAAAACCATTACATTGGTTTGGAGGATCACTCAGAACCAGTGATTTCCGGAACTTCAGGTTTTCAAAGTGATTTCTATTGCCCAGAAGCTGCTTTTAATGAGATAAGTATTAGGGGTAGCCGAAATTCTTCGAGCTTAATGGAATATCCGGTTAAGACTTGTCACTATTTCAACAAGGGTTTTTGTAAGCATGGCAGTAACTGTAGGTATTTTCATGGAGAATCTTTCCCAGAGAGCTACCCACATATATTTGGTCCTAATTCGTATGAAGCTGCTAATGATGATCAAGTTTTCTTGCCTGGGTCCCTTGAAAAATTGGAACTAGAAATCACGGAGTTATTGAAATCCCGAAGAGGCAATCCGGTTTCAATTGCTTCTCTGCCAATGATGTACTATGAGAGATATGGAAGAACTCTGCAGGCTGAAGGTTATCTGACTGAGAGCCAGAGACATGGTAAAGCTGGCTATAGTTTAACTAAACTTCTTGCTCGACTGAAAAATAGCATCCGGCTTATCGACAGGTTTAGTTTGGACCTTTTACAGAATATGTTGTCTGTTGATTTGTATATTCTTCATTAGATAACAGTTTTTCTTCTGATTTTCATGAAGCAGGCCTCATGGGCAGCATGCAGTCATACTGGCTGAAGATGCCCCAAAGTATATGGACATCCAGGGTGAAAGAAATGACCCTGGCCCTATTGTTAGCGGTTCACATCAAATTTATCTAACTTTCCCAGCTGAGAGCACTTTTACTGAGGAAGACGTTTCAGATTACTTCAAGTAATAAACTCTCAGTTTTTCCATGTTGCTTCTCGTGTTTGCCATCAATTTTCCGCATATTGAAGTTCTAATTGTTTTCCGGTGCTCTTCCTTAGTACCTTTGGTCCAGTTCAAGATGTGAGAATTCCCTGCCAGCAGAAGCGGATGTTTGGCTTTGTAACTTTTGTGAGTGCAGACACTGTGAAGTTGATTTTGTCCAAGGGAAATCCACATTATGTTTGTGGGGCTCGTGTTCTTGTGAAACCTTACAGAGAAAAGTCAAAGCTTGTCGAAAGGTATTAGCTCGATATTTTCTTGAACAAATGCACTGCTGATTTCCTATTCATTTGAAGATTCATTTTCCAATTAAGATGACCATAATTTTGTGTTAACCCAATAGCACTTACCTGTTGGTCTTACTTCACCTAAACAGAAACTCGAAGATGATGATTTATCAATAGTTTACTGTTTCAAGACTAATCCCCTTCCCTTTCTGTGTGCTTCTTTGACATTTCTTTCCTCTTGGCTACAGGAAGTACCTGGAAAAACTTGAGCATCCGATGCATTATCACTCGCACCCTATTGGTATCAACTCTGAGCTTCAAGCAAGCAAGTTATTTGGTGCAAACCCCAAGTGCTATTTCTAGCTTTAATACAATGCGACTAATGAATAGATGAGAGTTTTATTTTGTCAATTTGCACAAAGTGATGATTTTTTTCTATCAATGACAGGATTGGAATCCTCTAGGATGGTTAGAAGGCAGCTTATGGAAGAGCATGAACAGGCCCTTGAACTTGAGACACTGCGTCTTTCACAGCTCCGGCTTAGAGGCAAACATCTGGCGAGTCAGTCCTGCATGGGTTATTCCCTGGACGAGCTTAAACCACCTGAAGGTATTCTTGTCTTTTCTTTTTACGAGAACAAGTTGTGAATAGATGACGATTGTATACATAGGCAAAGTATTACGATTACTAAAATTTGGGCAGATCATTCCAAATTTGCATCGGCAGAGCGATTCAATTATCTGCTTGATGTTCTTAACAATGGCTTTGCGAGCCCTGATAACCCCAAGTACTCGATCACCAATCGCGGTGAGCAGAAAAGGTGTGCAAGATTAATTTTCCTAGTTTTGAATGTTTAGAGAATAGAATCATCTTACTATTTCCATTCTTGCAGTAAACAAGGACTTAATCTCCCGGATAGCCCCTTTGCATCTGCAGTAGCTAACAGCATTTCTGCCGTTATATAAGTAGGACAGAAACACACAAGAACTGTGCAGTTTATAGAGAGGCGTCGTCTTTAGTCTGATGGATTTTCTGCTTATTCCTTTCTACTCAGTTTGCTTGCAAAGCAAATCGAAGCTGCAAGTACATATATCGGTAAACAAGAAACATTAGAAGCTTGTCATCCCAATTACTCGGGCTGAAGGATGTAGGAAAGAAGACAATGATATACGAAGTCTAATACTTTTTTGCTTTTGAAAGAGGATGTAATATAGGAGTCGAGCTATGAAAGAAAGTCTATAGTGGTACATATGCAGGTCGCGGAGAAAGTGAATATGTTTAGAATCTCTGTGAAGCCGATAATAGACTAAATAACTAAATAAATACCGTTAGAAGTATCTTTACTACTCAATGAATTGAGTTCGTTCTTTCTTTTATCACTTAGGAGTCGTGTGAGACGAAAGTCTCATGAACGGTTTTGAATGAGAAAGAAGTGAGGAATCATCTTTTCGATTATGATTCTCCTTTGCTATCCATATATTTGTATTGGATGGGGTCTCAATCCTTCGAAGTACACTCTTAGCAAATTTTCGAGCTCAAAGCGATCATTGGGCCACACTATATAGTTGGGTGAATCTAGGCTTTTCAGCAACATAAAATTGACTTTGTAAGTTGGTTCTGTACATGCTAGTGATATGCATGGGATTCACATTACGCTATCCAACGATGGTATAACCAACGGAATTTGCCGTTGTCACTCGACAATCACTATACACAATTTAGTTAAAAGAGCCCTAAAAAAAAAAAAAAAAAAAACCTGCATGTTGAGCGCTCGAGTTTCCATTTTGTTCATTCATGTCCTTATTTTTTATCAGGTAGATAATTACTTGATATGCAAGTTTTTTAATTAAACAGCATGCACAAGTTCTAGGCTGGCACGGACGACTTTCTTTCTGAGCAAGCTAGTCATTCCTGCTGCATCTACTCCGTTGCCGATCACCACCACTTGGTCTTTCTTTTGCCCTTCTAATGACACTGAAACCACGCCTACAACACAACCAAAAGTTACAAGATTGCATATCTAGCCTGTGTTCGGTGGCCATTTTTTGAAAAAAACATTGTTTTGCATAGTGAATTTTTAGAAAATTGTCTGGTTAAAAAGTAGGGCTTACGTGTAGAATATTTTATTTTGTGAATGTGGTTAAAAATTAGCATGTCAAAATAAAAGGTGTTGAAAGAATGTGAGACAAACAAGGCTTAGCTTAGTTCGTAGTAGTTAAGTTTGTAGTAGTTGTTTTGTTGATACATACACACGTAGGACTAGAGGGACAACATAATTAAATAAATAATCTTATCCACACACCAAATTTCACCTCGATTCTTATGAAACTTGTAGAATGGCTTCCTCAAAATGTTATATTAGATCAGTTTCTTCTAAAAATACTTCTACCCGAGCAAAGCACTTATAAAAAATAATTAAAATATGTTCAAAAGTAGCTTTTTGATTTTCAAAAGTCCTACCAAACAGGCTTGACAAGACAAGGAAAAAAAAGGGAAATTAAATTAAACCTTAAGGCATGAAGTATAATCCATTGTACCTGAAGCCATGGCTGCAATACTCATGGCCTTGGATCTGCATTTGTTGCATTTAACTTCCATCTTTATTACAACCTTCTGCTGCAGCATCAAAATTGAGCCAAGTGAAAACCAAAATTGTAGCTAAAACATGTCTTAATTGACTAAAGAAATAATAAACCTTCATATTTAGGTAATAATGGGAGCTTTATTGGAGTTTGACTCTGAACATGAGTTATTTTACGAGTCAATTTTAATTAATCAGATTAATTTGTGACTCAAGTGCATGTTGAAAATTGTCACCGACTAGGAGGCTCTAGAATTTTCTAGGTTTTGCAGCCTCTCTCTCGTTTGTTGTATGATAAGTGCGTTTTTACACTTATCCAAGCCATCAAAAGTGAGCGTGTTTATATTGTTTAGATATTTAATTTTTGCTTATTTTATGATTGATTTAGGAGAAAACTTGAATTGGACAAGTTTAAGAAATTAGATTAAGCAACAAATATTCGAAGAATTGGTCCCCAAAATAATCAAGTTTTGAAGTTGTGAACCTTTCATGCAAATAAAAAGGTCTTGGAATGAACAAGGAATTAACGTTGAGGACCAAAATGCACGAAACTGAAATCTTAATCAGAAGACATAATCAATTCCATAAATCCAAGAACACGCTTGGTAACGTTCTTAATTGGGATAGAAATATGTTGTATCAAACGTGGATAAATAGTATAACGAACAAGATCATAGCTTATTTTTCTTCATTAATATCAGCACGCTACTAAGTTTGGTACATAGTTTGGGACAGCCATCAAGAGTATAATAAGCAGTAAAATGTTCAATGCTACATAAAGAGCATGCACTCAAATGGGTATTTCCACTGTGTGCTAGTTTTCAACAGTCAAAACCTCAAAACTGCTTTCTCATTTTAAGCACATCCAATCATTCAGCAGTATAAAACTGTGAATCAATAGCTCTAAATGAAAATCCCATAATTAGGAATATTTAACAAGCCCATGAAAAAGAAGTCTACCAGACTACCACCTAACTACTTCAGTTACCGATTGGCAGAGCAGCTCAGTCATTCTCCCCTTCAACTTCAACATCCTTGTTCTTCAACTGCATTTCAAGCAGAAGCAGAGAGCAAAAGGGAGAGTTCCTTAGTTTGCTCATAGAATCTCGAAACAAGCCAGCCACTGTCTGCAATGCTTCCAATGACATTCTTGCATCGTTGAATAATCCTGCAACAGAGAACATTTTCCCCAGAAACCACCTCTCCTATAATTTGCAGCCAGGAGAAAAGCATACAGGTTGCATGGACCAACCAATTAAGATGCTTAGACGTTGACACTTCTCCATCTCTAAAAAGTTCACATGCTAGCTGAGTATACACAATGCCAATTTTTCTTTCTTTTGTAATATACAAAATTTCTCTCTACTTTCATTTCATTCCAGTAAGGTTGGAAACAATGGAGTAACGCAACTACTGTTTATACAAAATTTCTCTCTACTTTCATTTCATTCCAGTAAGGTTGGAAACAATGGAGTAACGCAACTACTGTTTACTTAAGTGATCAACACAGTCTTCCTGTACAGAATTCACATTATTATTAGAGAAGCCAGCTTTATCTGCAATCTCCTGAAATGGAACCTCGTTTATTTCTGCCCTATCCGAGTCTTCAGAGCTACCCCATTTTCTTTTCATGATTTTAGGAACCAAGTGTGTTTCCTCTGACGCTGCATCGTCGTGGTTTATACGTTCAAATCTAATGGCACTAACCTTTCTTGCATTCCCTGCTAATATCTGCGCCACATATTATTTGTTAGATAAGCGTCAAAAAATGAAAAAATGTCAACCAGTCTCCAAGTTCGAGGTAGTTACAAAAATGAAGCTTTGATTCCTAGAACAGATCCAGAACCAGTTACACAATGGGAGATCTCATAATATACTTGGTTGATTTTGCATGTATAATTACCCACTAAAGGCAGAACTGGAGAAGCAAGAACACTTGCTATTTATAATATCCATGCTTCACTTGCAAATAATCCAATTCTAAATCAAGAACCAATTGCCCACCAAACAAGGTTTCATTTCTTGCACTCAAGTGGACACTTGAAGAAATCCACCTGGTAAGTCGGAGAAGGTTTTGTTTTTCTTTGTTGATAAATCCAAAATTAAATAAAACTGAAAAAGGTGTAAAAGTAGCGTTCAATGACCACACATCAAAAAGTAGGAGATGATACTATAATCGACTCAACTTACATTCCTATTATGTAATAGAGCAAGAGATCAAGCACTGCAAACCATCGTCTGCTGTGTGAAACTTACAGCAATGGTAACAATAATAAAAGGCATACCTCCAGCTTAAACATTTGGGTCTTTTCTTTTTCATCTTGTCGTTCAGATTCTACCCCATTATAGTCACCATGATCTTCTCTATTTGCTCTTTCAAGTACCACTTTCATGGTTTCACCTGTCCTTGGGATATATCCAAATGCCTCGCAGACAAAACCAGACACCGTTTCATATTGATGGCCCTGAATGGATGAAGGAGAATGTCAGCAGTCATTAGCTATAGTTAACACTTTAACAGACTAATGGCATAATTCATTTCAAATTCATAAATATTATTCTAGAGTATGGAAAAAATAACAGCAGCATTGGAAGACAGTTGTGTTCCACAATTGCAAATGTCAATTACTTTTCCACAGAATTTTCAATATCAAAGTTATATATGTGGAAGGACATCCTCACAATCTCCTGGTCTCAAGTCATCTATCAACAATAAATAGAAACAACACACATAGACCAATGAGTTTGAATGCCTAAAAGCAGGCTTTGACCAGTGAATCGTGATTGATAGTGCGTATCAGTGAGTTCACGCGTCAAAGCATGTTTGGGAAGTGTTTATAAACGTTTCAATTATAAATAAATGAAAATGAGTGGTGGATAAGTGGGTCCCTCGAAATATGTGGAAAAAAAGTGACTTAAGAGTGTTTATAAACATGAGCCATACATGGGCTTATTATTGTGAACCAATTTGGCCGAGCTGGATTTGAACAAGCATAAACATATTGCCAATGATTGCAGTCCTTCCCTCATTAACTTCCTGGGCATCGACCCAGTGAGAATCCATTTTGGGCTTACTGGTTCAACTCCCAGGACAATCAGTCAAACACATCTCAATAAGAGTAAAATGGAATACCTCTGGCATTTTAATATCAAGGTCTTCAGAAAGGTGGTCAATTGATGTATTAGCATCCACATCATATATGCCCTCAGCACGCATAACAATATAACCAGTTTTCTTTTGGATTTCCTCCTGTCATACAGTAAAACAAAAGGTCAACTATTAAGAGGAACATATCTCAAGGGCAGTCAGGTTTTCAAGTGTAAAATGAATCCTTAACCTAAGCTTCTGTCTCGTAATGCTCCTCAAGTATCTCAAAAAGAAGTTGAATTACTAGCACAACAAATCTAAACTAGACCATATACACTATTTACAGCACCTGGCTCCATTCAAGAAACTTCAAGTTTCAACATATGCAAACAAAGCCAGATGACAACTCTCCAAAAGAAGTATAAACTTTATGTCAATACCAATGTGGTGAATGAGAGATGTCTCAAATCCTGTACAGTAAGTCTAATTCATGGTACACAGTGAACTGCAGTACAATGAAAACAAGTCCTAAATAAATATCGACTCTACTGACACCTTGGTTGAATTAGTTTACATTGCCAGAATCTACTGTTTCTCAAACAATGCCATATGTCACACCAGATAATCCATTACCTCTCAACTAAGACTTAAAGTGCGCTTATGAGCCCGGCCAAGGTTTCCCCTACAATTCTTTTACTTTGTAGTCAGTGCATGATAATGGAGCTTGAAATGTTTAATAGGTGGAGCAGAAGTTCTTAGATTCCCTCATCAATATTTGAAATCATTTTCATCGACTGATGCTGTATAGTAACATTTTTCTGGTCAGCCATCAAACACAAATCTCTTAGGGTCTGGGGCTGTATCCATATTACAACTATAGAAGTAAAAGGGTGTTGATGGTGCAAATTTAGATGTAGGCACATGAAATGGATTCAAAATCAGCAATGGAGTAACAATATCAGTAACATAACAAAATGATATAAAAATCTCAAAATTTAAGTAAACTTACTTTTGAATCATTTTCATCAAAAATTTCACCAACAATTTCCTCAACCACGTCTTCAAGGGTAACTATCTGTCAAAAGTATAAGGCATAGACAAGATATCAAAAGCATAATTCAAATGCATAAGCAGGCAAATTTGGTTTGGAGAATTAACGATTTCATACCAAGAAATTGTACAATTCCTGATAAATAAACAAAACTGAGAACATGACTTACTCCAACAGTTCCACCATATTCATTGAGAACAACAGCCATGTGCATCTTCCTGATGCGGAACTCTCTAAGAAGATTCCACACAGACATTGAATCTGCAATACCACAGAGTTCAACTTAATCAGTTTTAATATAGAACCACAGATTAGAAAAAGAATGAGGAGATTCAATAAAATTAAATCAGTCAACAATCAAATGTGTCGGGGGATTCTTTGAAGAACATTCTGTATATCATCTGCACATTAAAAATATAGATATCGACTTCAGGAAATAATTGTTTCTAACTAATACAAACCAGATACATCTTCAAGAATGGATCATATCCAAGGTCTGAGGGACTGGGAGACAACAAAGAAGCTTGTGCAAAAATTCTGTTCCTTAATCACACAATTTTTTAGCTTGTGGCATTTCCACTTAGAATTAGTAATTGTTAATGCAACATTTAATCTGCATTTCGATTTGAATTTTTCTGGCAGCAATATACTACTATTTTGCCAAATATTATTGAATGGAAATATAAATCAAATATAATCCCTAAGGTTACCAATATCAATTGAGGTTCTCAGGATATATGTACACGACAGCAATAATATATGATTAGAAACGTGACTTAAAAATGGAAAAACACAAATGTCATTTAATTACCAGGAACAAAGTATGCAGGTTTGTGTGCCATGTCTCCAACTACAGAACTTTCTAGTAGTTCCCCCTTCAAAACCAAACAGAATATAATTCTGCATGTTATGAGATTTCTTTGTATAATCAGAAAAGATGTAGAAACAACATTTTGGACAAGATGGAAAATAGTAAATAGTAGACCTTCTGCACATAATCAAGAAGATCCATAGCATATGCAATACCAACAATATTGTCAATACGTTCTTCGAAGACAGGTACCCTGCAAACATGTGCATCCACTTCTTAGACTGATTAAATAAACACCAACAAACTGATAAAGCCATCTATACCTGGAATACTGATGATCCACCCATGAATTATGAAAATCGATTAATGTTGCACTGGCATCAATGGCAACAACATCAACAAGAGGTGTCATCACCTCTCTAACATGTGTATCTTTTATCTCTAACACATTTTCAATCATATCCTGTGAGAGATAAAAATGAGACTCTTATGCACGGAAAGTTGGAAACTTAGAATGGGGTGGAGCTCTATAAATCCATTATACATGCTATGAAGACAATTGATGACTTGGACAGTTTGGTCAGTGCATAAAACAAATAATTTTTTTTTTTGACACAGCAAGTACAAATGCAATCAGAAGGTCCAGATGGTTGCAGAGTCTACTATGGTATTTTGTATCTTCCATGTTTTTGCAAGAAAGGTGAAGAATAGTGTTGCAACTGCAAGATACAGCAATCTTGATTCCTAGACCTCTGTTATCAGCACAAGAAAGCCATTCATATTCTATCATCATTGTTGATTAGCTAGAAAGAAGTGAGATGAGTTCTACAGTGCATTTGATGAAGTACGTATTTATTCGGGTACTGTGTCCTAAAAAGCAATCGAGAATTTGGGTTGATGAATACAAATGCAATCACAGGAGGTTTTATAAAAAGTGTCTCGTTTTGACGCTTTTAAACAGTTCGGAATGGGAGGAACGCGATGTTGGTAGATCAATTTTAACTGGAAGGCTTGCTCCAAGATAAAGTTCTGTTCCTTTCCTTGGTTTTAGCTTTAGCATCCTGTGCTCCAGACATAATACTAATGGAATGCAGGAGGGACTGAAATAATTGTCCTTCATAGTTCCCTACTTATCTACTTTGAGGTAAAAAATTATCATCTCCTTCGATGTATTCTTTTATTCAATAACTAAAACTCGTAAAATTCTCATCATTTTGAGAACTGGTGAAAGATGTTGTCCAGCTTTCTTTCGCCAAAATTTTTATAGAAACAAGAAGTCTCTACGATAGGTTATAGGGGAAACCGCCAATTACCCCCGTGGTTTGGGAATATCCAGATTAGCTCCTTATGGCTGAATTCAGACAACTTTCTTGCAAGTTAGAACCTGTAATTTACCTACCCCCCACTCCAAAAAGTAGTACCATGAAATTGCAAGAGATTATAAGCATCACACATTTGCCAGCTTAAAGAAGTGATCTGCAGATTTTTTGAAAACTACATAGTGGTAAGTTCCCAATTGCTAACCATTTCTGAAGCTGCATTTCACTTATTGAAGCATAACTTGAAAGACAGACCACAATGACATTAAAACTAGATCAAAAAACCCATTTCATTACCTGCTCTTCTTCCTCAATTGCCCCACTTAACTCTGCTCCACGTAACATCAATTTTAGTTCATCTTCAGTAACATATGGTTCACTAATACATCAAATGGACAAGGTCAAGCACAAAGTAGCCAGAGGAATATGAGAAACCAAGAAGATTGCAGTCAGAATCCAGAAGCAAATGCTAAAGATGACGCTAACCTGATGGGCTAACAAGTTTATACTTAGTAATTGAGTATAATTATAATTATACCTCCTATTGATATGATTGACAGAAGGAAATGGACATTATTGTATAAATTACTACATGACAGTATTTTTACTTATCTAAAGGTCTATCATTAATAATACTAGCAGTGTTGCTTACTCGCAAAAATTAGTATTGTCATTATTCTCGCAAATATTTCCACAGCAGTTAAGATTTGGTTCTTCTATGGCTTTGAAGCATCATCTACTGCACCCTGACCATTCTTACAATATTGTTTGTGTATCTTACAACAGAATAATCATGCCAATTGTTGCATGAACACTTTTCTCCACTTCAACCAGATTAGTAAGAATTACATGCTACATCTCACACCCTATATCTAGTACTCTTTATGTTTTTAATATGCATGTTCATACTTAGAGTTTGTTTGGTAGAGATTAAATTTGGATTAAAATTGAAAAACTAGCCGTTATTTTTTACTTTTATTAGACGAGTGGGACCCAATAATGACTATATTTTAAATTTTAGTTGGATTTTAATTCCTCCCAAACAAGCTCTTAACTTATTAGGAATGGAGAATACTCACCTACCTTTTCTGTTCATATCTCAAATTTAAAATTTCATTTAGACAATCTTTAAAGTAACAGGATTGACGAGCACAATAAGTCTATCAAGAAACTTGGTAATACAAAATCTAATAAAGGAGGTAATACCAAACATGCCATGAATTGGAAAAATCATTTACGATAGACCATACCTTCTTCCTTTCAAGCCAAGCAGTTTTAGCATTCCCATTGACAGAGATGTTACAACTCTTCCGACAGGATACAGTACTAGGGAAAGCCACGCCACTGGCCTAACCTACAGGCATCACAAGAGACACTTCATCAAATGTAAAAAGAACATAGCACTAGACTTGTGTTTATCTTTTTTTCTTTCAGTATTTTGTGAGGGAGGGCGTAGAGTATTAGATAAATAAATATCTGCGATTTGAACAGAACTTTTTCTAACTTTTAAGTAAGAGCAAGCTCTAAACTTACCACAAACCTAGCAACCTCGGTGGCATTGTGAACAGCAATACTCTTTGGAGTAATTTCGGTGAGCAGCAAAATGGCAACCTGGTATCGTTGACGGTATAAATTTCCCTTTTAACCACCACTTACAGAAAAAGAAAATGAAGAAATATACTTCTGCTAGATGAGGAAGGGCCAAGAATCATCTTAAACACATTACTATACTGAACCAAAAGTTTGAGATGCAAAGTTCTTTTTAAAAAAAAAGGGTTTGATACCCGCATAAAAGGAAGACATTATATATATATACTTCTAAAGGTTAATTCATGCATCACCTGCCTCAATAATGGCATCAAGAGAGAGAAGATCAGAGCCAAGAATAATTCCAACATACATTTCTGTTCCGAAAACAACACTCTTTTAACATTTGAACTTAACAACATATTCAAGCGTACCAGAATGTTGGATGAATTAACATGTCCATATGTTTTATGTACCATATCCCAGCTAGAGCTACTTTTCTAAAAAAACAATAAGGAATTCATTTAAATGGCAAATGCGTAACTGGTTTTTTTAAGTTGGACTAGGGACCACTAAAATGCAACTCTAGTCTAATTCACATTCATGAATCTTTAAAGAAAGAAACTCAAGACGTACCGTCATGACTCCAGTTGCTGCACTCACACCAGCTTCACCAAATATTGCTGTCGCAGCCTCGGTGACTAATGCTGTAGCACCAATGTTCACCACTCTGAAAAAATATACAGAATAAGAAAACATGTTTATAATTAAAAAGAGAGAGCAATGTCTGCTAAATGAAATAAAATGAGCAGTACGTCGTGCCAATGAGTATAGTAGTCAGAAATCGAGTGACATCATTGCGTAGCATTTTGAAAACACCATTCTCGGACTCTTTTTCAGCCAACTCCCGTACCTGAGATTCATTACAATATCAGGATCTGGTCGATTGTGATATCCAGAAGAAATGTTGAAAAATAGACTGGGGAACAAATATTTAAGTTCCCATGAAATTGTAGGTTAGAATAATTAAAAAAATATGCCCAAAACCGAAATAGCACCAGTTACATCCATTTTTAAGAAAGTAAAATTCAGTAGAGATAAAGTGCCAGTTATATGCCTAGGGCTTTATAATATCCAAGAACGATGGATTTTTTTATTGGAAGAAAATAATGAAATGCTATGATATTGAGACTCTAGACACTATCTCATGATTGTTGAAGTTCCTGCAACAAAGACACTACATAGAACTAGCCATTTAAATAGAAACCATTAACAAATCTAACAATTGGATGGCTTGTTCCAAAGTGCACAAGAACAAATTCTATACTAAGCCATTCGAATTTCCAGATGATGAAAACTGTAGTTCTCTTGAAGCTGAACCAAGACATTGGGCAGCAGTACGTTACTTACATAACTTCATATCCAAGAAAAGTAAAATGCAAATAGAAAAATTGTTCTGCAAACTATATCTACATCACCAGCACGTCTGATGGAGGGTAGCATTTCCAATATATATATATATATATAGAGAGAGAGAGAGAGAGAGAGAGAGAGAGAGAGAGAGAGAGAGAGATTTCTATCAAAAGGCATCAAGATTACCAATAAGCATTGAGTGCAAGAAACATGCCCATCACATACCTGAAAACCTATTTACACTCAACGTGAAAGTTGTACCAAAATCAAGGAAATGAGCATAAGTGCAACCAGCATAATATCTCATTATTCTAATCAATTCAACTCTAAAGCATGAGAATATTAAATTTGCAGTATTCTCTGCAATGCAGCTCAAGTAACATCAAAGACGTAAAATTTACTTCAAAATCTAGATAGCAGTTATTCGTTATTATAATTCACCCATACCTTCCAAGGCCAGAGTGTAGTGATTGAGGTCTCGGCCATGGAGAAAAATGCCGAGAGTCCCAAGAGCGCAGCAAGTATCAATCCCTGCTCTTTAAAAACCATCAGCACTTGCAAAACCTTAGGCCCGGAGCTCCTCAACGCTACCAAACTCTGCTGCCAAACCCCGTAGCCCACATTCAAAGCCCCCTCAATTGCTAACACTCTCCTGCACCCCATTATCACGACCACTCCAATTGCCGCAGCTGCCATCACCAACACCTTCCTCACCAAAACCTCCCAGAAATTAACTGCACACTCCGCATTATTATCACTCCCACAACATCTATGTTTTGCGTCAAGTATAGGTAAGGGAGCGTCAAGTATAGGTAAGGGAGTTGCTGTATTGTGACTGAAAGTCGAGTTGAAGAACAAAATTCTCGAAGTACAACTGATGCTGCATCGCAGTCTTTTGGACGGAAACTTTGGGGATAATTTCAATTGGGGGTTACAGAGAGTTAGAAATGAGGGATTTGAATTAGTGATGAAGGAGAATCGATTAAAGAATGAGGTTTCTGCAGTTCTTGCTGCATCCATAGAATTATCTTTGCAAAAGCGCAAATAAATACCAAAAAAATGCAAAGATTTTAAATTTCTCGAATTAGAATCTAGGGTTCTTGCGAAGTTTGAACAGATGAAATCGAGTAGATGAGAATCTCAATGTGTGTACTTGTCCGAGAGCTCTCCCGTATATTTTTCCCTTTTCTTTGCTTCAAGCCAAAACCTCATTGACAAGTTGCAGACTTGAAATTACACACTCAACCTCCGTAATGGGCCACCAACCCCCTAAATTATGGGCCTGAATTGGATCTCTAAAGAATGGGTCGTGATTAAAATATTAGCCCAGATAAAAAAGAAAATCACAAGGAGCTAGAGGTGACAAACGGGTCGAGTCGGTTTCATCCTGCAGTCTTGATTCATCCTGATTAATCCATAGGCGGTTTGAGCTTGTATGCGACAAGTTGAGTTCAATTTTTTAGCTTATTTTATTAATTTCTTTTTAAAAAAGTCGGCTCATGGACGCTCAATCAATAAGCCAAAAGACCGAGCCGAACCTAGTTTGTGGACACGAGCAGTATTTAGGTGTTTAAGGATCGACCCGACTCGACCCCATTGCTACCCCATGAAGAGCTCTTGAAATATAAACAAACTTAAGGAAAGTCAATATTAAAAATAGTCAATGAAGTTTTTGTTCAAATTTCAAATTGGTCCGTAAAGTATTTTCCGTTTTATCATTGGTCCTTAAATTATTTTTTGAATCATTCAATCACTAAAGTTAATTAGCTTTATCACCGAACTGAATTCATCGACTTCTATTACTTTTTTATGATTTTTATTTTTATTGAAGATCGTTGTTTGAACTTCGCGTGAATTAGGATTTTAGTAAGTAAAAACACTAATAAAGCCTTTTTTTTTTCTTTTCGAAGGAAAATTATTGTGGAAGAAAAGTAAGGTTGCAGTTCTCTCTATGAAATGGGGTTTAAACCCTTTGATTTCATCCAAGTGTAGAATCATGTCTTGTTCAAAATAAGCTTGACAACCAAACATTAGTGAAAAACAAGACAAAATTGATAAGCTCAACACATTCAAATTTATTTCTAAAATAGTGTACAAGATAACATATGCTCGACCATAAAATATTTGTCTAGAACACCAGATATAAGAAGTCATTCGAGGCTAGAGGCCAGTCTAGCAGCTCGGGGACATTGTCTCCAGCAGTGTCGTAGGCTAGAGCTTAACCCAACCATCAAGAAGTTCAAAATAAGTACTAGTGTTGTTATGGTTGCAGATTTTCATCATGATCATGATCGTGATCGTAATCGTCAAAGGTTAGAGATATCTTGTATTCTAATTTCTGCAAGATTTTCATAACCAGAACTAGATCTCATGCTGTACTCTGCTACAAGCTTTGCAAATGAAGATGATTTGTCCTCCAGCAGCGTTTTTGGAGAATCGAATTCTTTAACAAGTCCTGCACCATACGACGAAATGTTTAAATTCCAAGTAGCTCAACAGAGAGGCTAGTAATTTCTGACACTATAATAAGGTCATATATACCGTGGTCTAATAATAGAATCATGTCACTGTCGAGCACAGATGTTATCCTATGTGCAATTGTTATAACCGTTGAGTCGTAAAAGTGTTGCTTGAGAGTTTGTTGAATCAGATTATCTGTTGCTGTGTCGACTGAAGCAGTGGCCTCGTCAAGCACAAGAATCTTGCTTTTCTTTAGTAGGACGCGCCCAAGACAAACTAGTTGCCTTTGACCAACACTCCAATTCTCTCCATTCTCAAACACTGCCGTTCATTAGAAAACCAAGAAATAAGAAGTCAAGATCAGAAATTTGGAATGTTTAAATCGGTGGAAGAGGCAAACCTGAAGAATCGAGCTTGCCTTCCTTCTTGCGAACTTCATCTCCAAGCTGGCACTTATCAAGAGCCTAAGACGAAGAAGAAATTTCATCAGCTCATCAAAATAATGCAAAATTCAATCTAGAGATAAACATTTATGTTCCTTCTACCAAACCCACCTCCCAAATCTGTTCATCTGTATACTCTTCAAGGGGGTCCAGATTACTTCGTACTGTCCCCTCAAACATGGTCGGATCCTGTGGAATTATGCTCAATCTAGATCGCAAATCATGAAGTCCAATTGATGAGATATTGGTAGTATCAATCAATATTTGTCCATCGGCAGGTTCAACAATGCGGAAGAGGGTCTGTATAAGAGTTGATTTACCACTGCCTGTCCTCCCGACTATTCCAGTCCACTTCCCTCCAAAGAAAGTACATGTGATGCCTTGTAACACAAGAGGCATGTGTGGAGCATACCGGACCTACAATCCAAACTCATGCATTAGCTCAGAATAAAAAGTTCAATACAAACCCCGAATCATCAAGATGATTTACCAGTAAATTTTAAAAAGAAATCACCTCAAGGTTTTGAATACTAATTTCTCCATTTGATGGCCATTGACTCTCTGGCCTGATTGATTCTACAACAAGAGGAGGCTCACTCGGTATAGAAGTGTACTGAAGTATTCTTTCAACCGATATAATCATATTTTCCATCCTGCAAAGACTCCATACTACCCATGCTTGTAACATGTTTAGATTAAGCCCATACGTCACTGCTAAGCCTGCAGCACCTTCAAATTCATAAGAAGAAGAAGAAGAGAAAGAGTTAGCCATCTCTGTCATTTATTTAAATGCAGATTTCATATGAAGCAATAAAACTTACTTGGATCAATGGTTCCTTCCGGGATCAAGATCAAGAAAATCAATGAGAAGGCAAAAGTAACTAGTGACAACATGTCCAAGCGAATACATAACCACTCCATTGCACCTGCAGTATGGAACTTTGGCCGAGAATATGCATCAATGAGTTTCATGCTCGTGTCACGGAATCTGGATTCCTGGTCAAAACTTCTAATCGTACTTGATCCAGAGAGCGTTTCAGAAAAGTGCTGTATTACAGGTGCTTTGCACACCCCAACTAATCGAGCAAGTTCTCGTGCTGATTTTATGTAATAATTCTGCAGAAGATGAAAGATGAGTTATAGTTTCAAAGAACTGCAAAGTAGAGAATATCCTTCTGTATAATGCAATAATGAGACTTTAAAGCTGCATTAAGTTATCTAAAGAGACAATGCACACTACCTCTAACCATACGCAAATTGCAATCACAGGAATGAAAACGATGAAGACCTGCCATGCAACTTGCGACATAACCACGATAATTCCTAGAAGCTGTATTAATGTAGAAGCAAAACCTCCAACTAAAGGTGGAAGGTTCAAATCCACTGCAATTTGGTCTGTTGATGCCTGTGACAGTATAACATCATCCCTTAGCAATAATAATGTGTCCCAATTTAAAAGAAACAGTAAAAAATATAAAGTTCCGAATACAACGCAAACGTGCAATTTTTCTTACTCTGTTTAAAATGCGTCCACTTGGAGTAGAATCGAAGAAAGACATGGGGGCACGAAATATGCACATGTGCATTTTGTTGAAAAGTATTTTAGCTGTCTTGTAACCAGCCATAACAAGTAGCGAGGCTCTGGCAAAAATGCAAAATGAACTTCCAATTGACAAAGCAACATAGACAATGATAAGAGTAGGACCCCCAACGGGAGGTACTGCATCCTCGGACACCGGAGTTGCCCAAGCCATCCAATAATTGCTTCCGATTTGAAGTAATTGAAACAAAATTTGCGCCGACAATATGAAGGGCACAAGGAGTCCACCATATGCAGTTGTGATATATTTCCAATAAACCGATAGACCAACTTGACCTTTCTCTCTTTCTTCTTCTTGAATAAGCTGTCTATTTGTCCCCTTCGCAGCATCTGTTTTATCATTTTGATCATTAAGAGATTCATTTTTTTGCAGAGAATTCTTACCATTTCTTGTTCTGCTATCCTCACCAACCTCAATGGAATTGAGTGCTGATAAAGCTTCCTTATGTGCACCAACTAGTTCCATGAAATCACGACCAGATTTTAGAATATCATTGTACTTTCCAGCTTGTGTAATCCTCCCATCTTTCATAACCTGATGATAAAGCAATTAGGTTTTGTGACCAGGATGACGAATCACCAAGACAAATGAAACGAAAAAGAAATGAGCACCTCACCAAAATCAGATCAGCTACTGGTAAAAATTCAACTTGATGCGTGACGTAAATAACAGTTTTAGAGTTCAGAAGCCCCAATATACATTCCTGCCATTTGAACACAATAAATATCATAACACCAATAGAAAAAACATATCTTTATAGTTCTATTCAATTGGGGCCTATGGAAAGCAAGAACAGGGTTAACAAGATTAAGCACGAGTACAACAAGAATTAGATTTGAACAATCATAAGGAGAAGTGGAACGTACATTGAACAGATGGGTTCCTGTATGTGCATCCACAGCACTGAATGGATCATCAAACAAATATATATCAGCATCTTGGTACAGAGCACGTGCAATCTGTACCCTCTGCTTCTGTCCACCACTCAAGTTGATCCCCCTTTCACCAATAATTGTTTGATCACCAAAAGAGAGAATATCCAGGTCTTTCTTTAGTGAACATGATTCAAGAACTCTCTCGTAGTGTTGTCTGTTCATGTCCTTACCAAACAGTATGTTATCTTCAATCTTTCCACTTTGTATCCATGGTGACTGAGCTACATAGGATTTTCTTCCACTGAGCCTAATGGTTCCTGAAATTTTGGGCACCTCCCCCAAAATACAGGAAAGTAAGCTTGACTTGCCCGAACCAACTGTACCACAGATGGCAATCTTCATGCCATGAGAAACTCTGAGGTTAATATCTTTCAATGTTGGACAAGGAGACGATAAATCCCAGCTAAAATTCCCATCAACTATCTCTACTGCTATGTCAGAACTACCCATGGGAAGCCTCTCTATGACATCTGTCTGCAGCTCTTCGAGGGAAAGAAATGATGCAATTCGATCAAGAGAAACCTTAGTCTGAACAATCATAGAAATTGTCTCAGGAAGACTGTAAATTGGCTCTTGAAGAATTCTAAAGGTTGCAAGTGCGGACAGTATCTTCCCAGATTCAAGTGGGATCCCCATTATCATACAAGCACCAAAAGTTACAACAGACACGAATGTAGGGGCAACCCAAAAGAGAAATGAGGTAAGGGCCCTAGTATACACATATTTTTTCAGCCATCCTGCCTCAGCATTCCTAAGCTCGAGAATTTTAGACAGAAACTTCATCTCCCAAGCTTGAAGCTTGAGAATCCTCATGTTCCTCAAGACTTCAGACGTCGACTTCATTCTTTTATCTTTTGATTTCATTAGTTTGTCCTGAAATTTTTTTTGTAAATTTCCCAAGGGAACATTTGCTAGCATCACCAGAATAGTAGCAACAAGTGTAGCGAGAGAAGCAAGCCCAAGATTTCTATATAAAATTGCCAATGCCAAGCCAACCTGTATAATCACCATCCATGGATCATGCATATACCAACCAAATTCTCCAATTCTCTCTGCATCGACCGACATAAAATTAATAATCTCCCCAGAGGTATGTCCTTGCTTTGATTGGCACGAAAGGGTTAAACCCTTGTTGTAGATTTTGGCAACTAATGCTGCCCTGGCCCTAAATCCAGCCTGCTGCACCTTGAAGAACCAGTGTCTCATTGACAAGCACTCAAACATCTTTGCAATGATGAAAACAGAAACCAAGACATAGCCCTCATTTTCAAAATCTTGCTGTCCATTTAAGTATTGAACAAAGTCATCAATTAGGTATGGACCTACATAAGACGCCAACGTATATACAAGTACATAGACAGCAGATAAAGAAATTTCCCTCCAGGTTGTGAAAATTAATCCTTTTGCTAGCATAAGTGTGGTGACCCCATTACTTCCCCCACTATCAGACTCCAATATATTGTTTAGAATTGGAAATGCCCCTTTAACACTATCGAAAATGGCCAACTGAGGTACATCCTCGAGGTCTAACGTTTTCTTGAAGCCAAGAGAAACCAAAGGACCTACCCAGGAGAAAGTGATGATACTAAAAATACTAGCATTGGCATAAGGAGTTACAGTCTCATCCCCCTTGATTGCTTTATTCGACTCTCTACCATTAGTAGCACTACCATTCAAAAGGGTTTCTTGAAGAAGGCTATCTCTGTCCTCTTTCTGGCCCCAAAACCCCACATAACAGAGGAATAAACCCATGACAATAGAAGTTATATCAGATACCCAAAACAAAGTAGATAAAGTTTGGTGCTTTTGGTAATATATAAGGTCTATCACCAAGCAATAACAAGAAACAGGGAAGAAAAGCACCCACCAGAGCCTTAAACTCAGTGGGTACTTAGGTTCACCAGATTTCTTGAACTGGCTTTGCAAGTAAGCATAGAGGGCTAACCAGGCTAATGTTTTTGTTCCCAAATCCAGTGAAGTGAGAATCTTTTCATCAGACGAGCCGCTTCTATACCAATAAAAATGGTTCAATAGGCATAAAACAAGATTAAACAATGAAAAAACCAAGCATGAAATCAGTGTTGGTTTGTAGTGTAAGAGCCTATTGTGCCTAACACTCTGCTTCAGGCTTTCATCGTCATTACTCCTGATTTTCTTGCAAACCCATGATATAAATATGATCAGTAACAAAACGAGGTGCAGAAAGCTAGTGAAGACACGTGAGAAAATTGGGTTGAGGAGAAAATCACGTTCCATAGTTTGTAATAAAAGGGTGTGAAATTGAAACACAGGCATTCCCTTAAACAATTCTTTTTGGCCAGCTTTTGGTATGTCAGGTTTCGTGGAGTGATAGCGTCGAAGTTCTGAAGAAAACCATTAGGCAGATGGCTTTATATAAAAAGGGAGCCAAATTCAAGAATTGGTTTTTTTTTAAAAAAAAAAAAATTGTTTGTTTGAGAATGTGGAGCCCAAAAATGAGAGAGTCAAAGAAGGCTGCCTCTTGGGCATGGGATAACGAGGCGAGCAACACACAAGTCACAAAACTCAGCAATCATGATACAATGCCAAATTCTTTTACATAAAGTAGAAATTCTTTTACACAAAGTTTGACATAATGTCAAATGACATCAAGTTTTTGGACTCTTTTAAGCATAGTGAACTTTTCTATAAAATCATCTTCTGTCATATCAAATTATTTCAAAGCATTTGTTAAAGTTTTCGGGTAAAGAAGCAAAACCCAAACTCGAGAGGGTAAGACTTAAGAGTTAGAGAGAATCAAAGAAGGCTGTTTCTTGGGCATAGGATAACGAGGTGATCAAGACAAAAGTCACAAAACTCGAGAGGGGAAGAGAAAGCAACGAATTTGAGAATGGATAGAGAACGCTGCATAAAATTTTATCAAATTTTAATTTGATCGCACACTTCATGCGGAATTACAAGTTGATAAATTTTATTAGCTTTCAACCAAAGATTACATCAAATTTATCTAAATTCATTAAAAATTTCATCAAAAACTCTATCAAACAAATCCTAAATTTTCTTCAAAAAGCGATTTTTATGTGACAGTGTCACTTGTTTGTTCTTACATTATTGTCCTGCGCGCATTGAATTGATTTTTTATAGTATTGGATTAAAATAATTTTCGGTCAAGTGACTTTTAACAGTAGCTTGTATTAAAGTCCCAATAAGACAAGCCCAATTTACATCATATTAATTGATAGAGACTGACGAATAAATTACACATTTCATAAATTCCACAAATCATTATCAATTTTTATTAATTGATTCAAACAATAGTTATGCTAAATTGTAAGGTCAATTAACTTTTAAGATTTGCTGTCGATTAATTAACGAATCATGATACATATACAATTTAGTTTGACAATATTGATTGACAATCACGCGCTTGCAACATCGCATTCATTCATTTCAAAAACTGTTTGTAAATTATAGACCTGAATTTTAACAATATATCACTGTCAACAGAGATGACAATTTTCCTCGCCCCGCGATGGGGCGGGGTTCGTCACCCCGTGAAGAATAAAAAAAAAAACAAAACCTATAAAAAACAAAGCTGTGCTTGGTTTGGATATTGATGTAGTTAGTTTGAGTATTACTTGTTTTGAATTTTAAAATTTTGAATTTGTATTTTAACTGAAAATAATAATAAAAAAAGGGGGGTAGGCTCGAGAGTAGCGTGGCGAACCCACCCCATTGCCATCAATAACTATCAACAATTATTGTCAAGTATGATGGTACAAATAGTATAATCGATAAATTTATACTTTGGATAAGAGAGTGAAGTCATTGTTGACATAAGATTCCAAATATCAGAGGTGTCACGGATTAGTGAGTAGTGACTTTATTTTTTTTGCCCCCTTTCTTTTTGAAGCACCCACGAAAAGGGGCGTGACTTTTGTGCATGTTTTTCCTAGTATATTTGCCAGTTTTATAAATGAGCGAAAAATAAGTAAATAATAAATATTTTATATTTTTTAATCACAAAAATAATAGTGCGACTATGGACTCGTTGGCATGATTTTTGAGGAGTCAAGACGAGCTTTTGAAATTCTAAAGTTGTTTTTGGATTCATTTGACTAATTTTATCTTTTTGATCGTATCCCCGTTAAGCAATATGGATAATAACATTTGTTTTTCAAAAGTTTCGTTCTCAGTCAAGTCATGTCCCCATTAAGCACCCATTCGATAAATTTATAAATTGTATATAAAGAGCCTTAGTAAGAAAAATAGGAATAAATTCGTGAAATATGTGAATAATATTGAGATAGCAATTATGTATGTATAGTTAAGATTAAAATTTGAATTTAACTAAATTTATAACTTTGTATCCAAACACGGTCTAAATCGTAAGCTTGACTTTGCCTCCATCGTCCCAAATGTTCTCGTCCGCATTTCACACGAACAATTTATGTTAACTTTTTATAATACTCTAAAATCGTAATCATGTTGAGTATCATACAAAATAGAATTTTGCTACTATTTTGAAAGTGAGAAATGGTATTTTTATTAGGGAAATTTGTTCTTTTCATTCTTAACATCTTCGAAATGTAACATATCTACCTCAACTTTTTTATTAAAAAAATTGGACTTTAAAATATCGAAAATTAAAAATCAACTTAGTTCGTACAAAACAATAAGTCAGGGACTTCCTGAATAATTTTTAATCGAGCTTGTGTGCGGAGGAAGGAATGCAATAATCCGCTAACCGAGGCAAATAAAATAATATAAATATATCATCGGTCAAAAAGAGGGGACAAATTATTTTATTTATTGACGAAAGAATAGAATTAAAAGTGTGTTTGATTGATATTATTGAAGAAATTATGTATTTTTAAATAATGATATGATGATAAATATGTGGTTCAAAAGTAAGAAAAA